TCACAGCTCATTGGACATTGTTTATTTACTGTATTGGCTTCCGCCAGCCCCTGTACTCTGTATTACTGTATTACTGTTAAGCAGGCCTTCGGTAATCTCGGATTACTGGCCGGTTACGGTGCTAAACCCATAGGGGCGGGTTTGGGTCATGGCATAATGCCTTTAATTTGGCCCTGTAGTGACCTTTTTTTTTTTTTTTCTTTTTTTACATATGTTTGGAAGTTCAGTATCGAAAAAAATTCAAACTATATTTATCATTTTTTTGTTCTTGTGTTTTTAAAATAAAACTTATTATTACAAGGTCAACCTCCTCCTAATTGCGAACATAATCCAAGTTATAAACTTTATCTGAGTTTACATTGTGATGCTACATTTGTTTCATAGTTGGGTTGCCCAAAAAACTCACTCATTGCCATTGTCGGAGAAGTATGTATTGTTAAATAGTTGCTGCAGAAAGACTAGCTGCTAGAGGATTTTGAAAGTTTTGAGGGTGTATAAGTTTTGAGGGTTTTGAAGTGTGTAAATGGTGGGAGAGGTATGTACTCTCATAAACTCGATATTATGATTTAGTGGGTGAGTGAGTTTAATAGTGGATGGGGTGTCCTTTTTAGTCATTTTATTTGAGATTATTATTATTATAATAATAAATAAATAAATAAATGAAAAGTCCAAAGATTAATTATGGTGTTAATAGCAACACTCTAGATTATTTTTTCACCTTTATATATTTGTGTCAAAGAACTTTTTTATCGTTCACATCTTCTTTTTTTTTAATTTTTTCTTCTCTTTTTTCTCTAATTTCTCTATTTCGTCTCTCTGCAACCACACCACCACCACCACTTCACCATCAACCACACGCCCTACCTATCTTTCCTTCAACACTACACAACACCTATACCCCCGTCTTCCCTATTTAAGAAGAAATTCAAAAAAAATAATAAATAAATAACTAAACACAAAAAATATTGAAAAACAATTTAAAAATATTTTTTTAAAATTAAACCAAACATTGGTTTTGACTTATCTTCACATTAGAGCATCCACAATAAAATAACTAAAAATATAGTGTGTTGGGAAATTTTACCATACACATCATTTAAAGGAAGTGTACTATATGTACTCATAGTTATATCATTTTCTTCTTTAGTTACGAATAATTTTCTTATTTTAGTTATAACTCGTGAGATCTTTAGTTAAGTCCCATATGATTTTAGTTATGATTTTTTTTTTAAAGTTATAATTCAAAAAGTATGAATTTATAACATTTTCTTTTTAGTTATAAGGTCTATATGGTATGCGCTATTTGAAGGATATGTATGGTCTTATACAACAAATAGTGATAAAAGTAGAATCTATTTTTGTGTGTTAAGATTTGTTCGTTTACGTTGTGTTTGGTTGGAAAATTTGGTGAGGGATTTAGAAAGGAAAAGAAAAAAGTTAGGTGAAATGTGAATAAAATATACTTATATTTTACCTACTTTCACATACCTTTTCTCTATTTCTTTCCAAATCCTTTCTTAAATTTTTCAACTAAAAACAGCATTAACAGCATTAGTAAATATGCGTGGTGTTGCAATGAAAATATTAAGGTATATGTTAGATAAAAGTTATGTATTAAAATATATATAAATAAAAAATTTATAAAAAGTGCAATAAGACTCACTTCCTGTACAATCATCAGCCCTCTTCCCTTTTATCTCTCTCTTCTCCTAACGCATTAGTTGGATGCCCGCGGTTATAATTAAGGGTCTGATTGTTTTTAGAGTTAAGAGCATCCCAACAATCTGTCTTATTTCTATTTTAAAATATAATAAATAAATAAATAAATTATAAATACATTTCATAAAATTTATTTAAAATATAAATCATCTTTTATGATTTAAAAAATTAAAAATAACACTTTGTTAATTTTTTTATTTAACTAAATTAACTAAAAACATAAAATTTTTAATTGTTCTTCCATATAATAATAAAATTACCTAAATTATTAACTAACATATATTTCTAACATTATTAGTAAAAACTGATAATTGGCTTGATGATTTATTAATAAAATGATCTATTTGTTATAAAATTAGAAATCTCAAATGGTGGAATATAATTTCTAGAACTACAAGTGACAATTCATATTTTAAGCAAAATTCAGAAAGTTTATTTGTAATTTATCCTTAAAAAATGATTTCCTATTTTAGGAGTCACTTTTTCAACTATGTATCCCAATAACAATCTCTATTCTTTTTCTATTCTATTAAAATATTTCCTATTCTTTCACGCCTTCCAATTTGCACCTATGAAATAAGAATTATATATTTGGAGGAGCTACATGATTACAAATAAAGAGCGACTGTAACAATTTTAAATTTAGGGGACTCAATAGGAGTCTGTTGGGGAGTGTTTTTTGGACAACCAACTCCTCAATTTAGCAAAAAGGTAAGATAAGTGCTCTATTGTTGATGCTCTTAGGTTGGGTGCAATTATTAGTGTGTAGACTGTTGGTGAGGAAATTGCTAGTATGAGGATAATTAGTGAGAAAATTATAAAAAGTTGTATTTGTTTCATAACCACTGAACTAGCAAGATTTTAGGTTTGTTTTTCATTCTGTGATGGGATTAGTTATATGAAATTTCACAAATGCCTTTAGTGTTTTTGATATATTTTATAAATATTAAATTTATTATTTTTTTGTACTATATTATTTAAATATTAAAAAAAATTATATTAAATTATTTTGATATAAAGAATGGTGGGAGTAAAAAATAATGACAAAAAAAAGAGAGGGATTTGGTGATAGACCTTTCTCTGTCTAATTTGTCTTTCAAAATGACAAGAATTATATATGTACTTTCAAAACCTCATAATATTTTAAAACATGTTTCTTTTACTATATAACCCTCGTATCTATCAGCTCCCCTATTAAGCCATCTTCATAGTGTATTTCAGAGTAAAATTTTATTTTGAATCATAGTAAATTTTACTCTGATTCAAAGTAAACTCTGAATTAGAGTAAAAGTAAAATTTCATATCGTTAAGAAAATCAACATGTTTTTAACCAGAGTAAAATTTTACTTTGAATTATAGTAAATTTTACTCTGATTCAGAGTAAAGTTTACTACAATTCAAAATAAAATTTTATATTGTTAAGCAAATTAACATGTCTTTAACCAGAGTAAAATTTTACTTTGAATCATAGTAAACTTTACTCTGAAAGTACAATTTTACTCTGAATCAGAATGAAATTTACTATGATTTAAAGTAAAATTTTATATTGTTTAAAAATTCTAAGTGATGATTCATTTGATACTACCAGGAGCAAAATAAGGTCCACTCATGTATACAACATGCATGCATGCATGCATATATATACAAGGCTCATTTCTGATAACAAAAATACTTACCTACAAATAAGCAATCTCCACGGAAGATATGGCCTACGACATTGTTACTACTAAGAAAAATGTTTGGGAGCTCTAAAAGAGCTCTAGAGGGTCGGTCTCACTCATTGATGTGATGTTTTGGCCTTAAGTTTTTTTTTTTTTTTTTTTTTTTTTTTTGGGTCTTACATGATGGGATGTTTTGCTCTTTTGTTTTTTTTGTTTTTTTTTTAATTTCCACTTCATTCGTGGGATAAATCATTGTTGTACTACTAAAGTTGTTGTGGATATACATGAATAAAAATATATGATAAGATAATTAGTAAAGACAGAACAACAAATAATTCAAAACAGATTTCAAAACTTTCAATTAATCCCCACTCTCACAATTGATTTCATTCGACCATTACCAAAACACTTCAATGATAAGCCAAAATTGAAAGATTTTAGAGGACCTGTGTTTGATTGTCGTTGCTTGCTTGCAAGAGCAGCCACCATTTTTTGAGCAACCTTGCGAGTTTGACTCGACATGCGGCGAATCAGAGGATCTCAGATATGAGGCCTTGACAGCGTTCACGATTGGGAAAAAAGACAACGATGGAGGAGGGAAGAGAAGGTGGGAAGAGGGTGGATAGAGAAAGTGGAAAGATTTAGTTGAGGATATAATAGTCTGATAAAATATTTAAATAATAAATTTTATCCTTTATACAAGACTTTATAATTATGAGGAGATTTAGAAAGTATAATTTTTTTTTTAATCCTTTTAATAATGAAAGGAATGTAAAGGGAGTTTATAACCAAATTTTCCAAAAAAAAAAGTTAGAGAAAATGCCCTACTAACCAAGTGGAGTAAGTAAATTAGATAGGATAAAAAGAGAGCAAAATAGCTTTTTCCAAGCTAATCCCAAGAGATTAAGTCTTAAAACCAAGTTTCTTTGGCTTTTGCTAATCCCCTCTATTCATAGAAATCATAGTCCATTGAGAATTTGAGACTAACAATCTATTGGGGATTAATTGCAAATAAACACAATATTAATGAATCATGCTCACTATTAATTCTAGTTGCATGCTCAACCTCTTCAAACAAACAAGGCCTAACAACTGACAATGGGAGTGTTTGAAAAGTTGCGTTTGCTAAAATATTAATAAAGATAAAATAAACTAAATTAGTTAATAAGACAAAATGTCACATCTGAATTATAATCATTTCATTTGTTTTCTCACAATCATCAAATCAATTACAAAAAAAAAAATAAAATCAACTCTTATCTCAAACATAACTTTTTTAGCTAGCTAAAAAAATTAAAAAGTCAACTAAAATAATTTATTTACAAATGAGGTCAACGTTGTTGTATACTTGTAGACCACGTTTGTTTAGCAAATTAAGTTGGATGAGATTATAAATACAATGGAATTGAGTGAGAAAATTAATAATATGATAGTATTAAGTTAGAGATATAAAATAAAATATGTTTGTTTGAAGAGTAAAGTGATGACATAAGTTAATTGGTATTAAATCTATAAAATTATATGTAATAGCTTTTATTATATAAAAAGAGATTTTATTGTGTTTGATAAATAGAAAGCAAAATAGACATTTTACTTGGGGATTGAATAAGCAATCTCAGCCCCTTCATAGCAATGTTAATCCCACTATCCCCAAGTAAGATTGATAGTCCCATGAAACTCGTAGCTCTGTAGCATGTGACACAACTAAACATGAATTTGACAAGACTCGCCGAATCATTAATCCAATCCCACTGTCTAAGAGGCGAAACAAACATGCCCTTAACAACTCCTAGGCTCCTAGCAGACATTGTGAAGAAAAAGGTAAAAACCGGTGGTTCAAAAGAAGAATTTTAGAATTAATGAGCGGAGTCAATAAACCTCATGTCCTGTCCTAGGCTCCTAGCAGACATTGTGAAGAATCTCTCTCTGTCTCTCTCTAAAACTCAAAAATGGATGAGATTGAGCACAGGTACGTTGAAGTGAAAGGTCTGAAGCTCCATGTAGCTGAGATCGGGTCGGGCCAATCGGTTGTGGTTTTCCTCCACGGGTTTCCCGAGATATGGTACTCCTGGCGCCACCAGATGATCGCCCTCTCCAACGCTGGTTACCGTGCGATCGCACCCGATTTTAGAGGGTACGGGCTGTCTGACCCACCACCCGAACCCGAAAAGGCCTCCTTTGCTGACCTCATCACCGACCTCCTCGCTATCCTCGATGTCCTGAGCATTCCAAAGGTATATTCCTGAACTCTTCTTATTTGTCAGGTACTCAGTGTTTGTTTGGTTGCAGAGAAAATAAGCCTCCGTTTGGGAAGGGGTTGGCTTTTTGGCTTTTTGGCTATTTTAGCCTGGTTTGGGAAGGGCTTTTTGACTTTTTTGGCTTTTTTTGTGAGAGAGGATTGTAATGATTATGGGTTGGATTTGATGTTTTGTTTTTTGTGGCTAAAATAGCCTATTTTGTTTTTTGTGGCTATTTTAGCCCCAAACCAAGTTCCCAAACAATGCCTTAGAGAAAAAGTAGAAGAAAGTAAATTTAGGGGCAAATTATATTCGTCGTTAATGTACCACTTATGTCAATTTGGCTGGTTTTAATGATGGAAATTGGGATAAAATGATTTAATATATAAATTGATAAACTCGGATAAGAAAATAGATGGAAATTAGGATAAAATGATTTGTTATATCAATTGATAAACTCGAATAAGAAAATAGATGAAAATTAGGATAAAATGATTTAATTTATCAATTGACAAACTCGGGTAAGAAAATAGATGAAAATTAGGATAAAATTATTTAATTTATCAATTGACAAACTCGGATAAGAAAATAGATGAAAATTAGGATAAAATTATTTAATAGAACAATTGATAAACTCGGATAAGAAAATAGATGGAAAATAGGATAAAATGATGTGCTATATCAATTGATAAACTCAGATAAGAAAATAGATGAAAATTAGGATAAAATGATTTAATATATCAATTGATAAACTCGGATAAGAAAATATTGATAAACTCGGATAAGAAAATAAATGAAAATTAGGAAAAAGTGATTTAATATATCAATTGATAAATTTAAATTCAGATAAGAAAATAGACAAAAATTAGGATAAAATTATTTAATATATCAATTGATAAATTCGAATAAGTAAATAGATGAAAATTAGGATAAAATTATTTAATATATCAATTGATAACCTCGGAATAAGAAAATAAATGCAAATTATGATAAAATGATTTAATATATCAATTGATAAACTCGGATAAGAAAATAGATGAAAATTAGGATAAAATGATTTAATATATCAATTGATAAGTTCGGATAAGAAAATAGATGAAAATTAGGATAAAATTATTTAATATATCAATTGATAAGTTCGGATAAGAAAATAGATGAAAATTAGGATAAAATTATTTAATATTTCAATTGATAAACTTGGATAAGAAAATAGATGAAAATTAGGATAAAAGGATTTGTTATACCAATTGATAAACTCCGATAAGAAAATAGATGAAAATTAGGATAAAATTATTTAATATATCAATTGATAAACTCGGATAAGAAAATAGATGGAAATTAGGATAAAATGATTTATTATATCAATTGATAAACTCGGATAAGAAAATAGATGGAAATTAGGATAAAATGATTTATTATATCAATTGATAAAGGATGAAAATTAGGATAAAATGATCAATTCACTCCTTCAAACCAAACCCTTGATCTTGATTTCTCTGTATGTGTGTATTTGTGTTTGTGACTGCGAGTAGAGGGTAGCGAGGGGTGGGGGATTTAGCAATAGTGCGTCATGGGGGTGGTGGATCGCAGAGGTAGGGTCTGCAATGGTAGTGGTATTGAGGGCGAGGGGTGGTGGGGCAGCGGGGATTGGGAACCTGCAATGGTGGCTAGGGGAGAGGGACATGGAGGTGGAGGTGGCTGGTGACGGCAGCTGGCTGTGGGGAGTGGGCTTCAGAGGAGGGATGACAGTGGCTGGTTGTGTGTAGGGTGTCCGAAATAGTAATTTGATTAAGGAACATAAATGTATAATAATAATAATAATAATGGGATGGTGCCTTGAAAATAGAATTACTCGCTAACCAAAAACTTTGAAAAGAGTAAATGGACTAGTTTATCTTTGATTTCAGTATAATTTCTAAAATATGTTATCAATTTGATTAATTAACACAGAAGACAAATTACAAGAGTATGGATTTTATTTGCTCTTTAGTGACAAGAAATTACAAATTTTGGATGGATTTGTCCGGTCTTCTTTAGATGTAATTATGACATTATTTGTAGTTGAGCATTGCGCAGGGGATATGGGTTTTGCCTGTGTTTGCAGAGTACTTTTTGTTGCATCCTGAATAGTTTTGGTGAATTATATGATTAGGTGCTGTAAATTCAAGCTCTTCAATTTGTAAACAGAAGAAATTTTTTGGGGATGTTTTGGATTTTCTTCTCTTCTTCTATGACATCCAAAAATTGTGGAAAAAGAAATTGGGAAACAATTAAAAACATGTTTTGTTTATTTAGAAAACAAGTAGCAATTTTACTTTGCTTATTTTAATTATAACAACTACTAAAAGGAAAAAGAAAAAAGAAAAAGGAAAAGGAAATGGTTATTAGAATTTTGTGAGTTTCTTTCACAATTTTTTGGATATACATCTTGTCATAGTAACCTGAATATTTTCTTCAATTATAATTGGTTTTCCAAGCTATTTTTGTAATTGTACTCAAACATTAAGAAATTAGAGGTAATCTCAAACTCATAAGAAAATGTTTTTAAAGGCTGGAAATGTTTTGCATTCTACCAAACATCATGGGAAACAATTGGAGTATTGGTTGATTTTTAACCGAAAGTTGATTATCAAAAGTTAATTCCACATCAAGTGCAACCAGTGTTATATGTCCGCTTCTACTTCCCCTAGTGTACCCATGTCTATTGGAGTAAAGGTGTAGGATATATGTTTGACACCTGTATTCAATTTAAATATTTAGATCTTCTAATTTTGTATGATTTTTGAAGAAGAATATGCAAATAATTATTGGTAAATTAACATATCTAGCTTCCACACAAACGAGAGATAGAAATTATATAGGCTCTATTTGATTTGAACATGGTGTTTGTTTATGATTTTCAAAAATCAATTCCACATTCACTTTTGAAAACATAGTCGAAGGCGGAAAAATTTGGGCCAACCGGTTGTCCCACCGGTTGACCGAAACAGTGCATTTTTTTTTTTTTGGACACATGTTAATTTTTATATATTCAATAAAAAAATATTTTCTGAATTTTTAAAATTTTTTTATGAGTTTTAATAGAATTTTGAACCGTGTGTTTAGTTATGAGTTGTAAATTTTTGTATTAAATATCATATGTCACTTCAAAAATTTCCTACTCAATTCAAAACTCATTTACCAAACAAATTTTTCACACTCAAATCAAAATTCCAAAACTCACAAACTCAAAATACAACTCTATTCTCAAATCATATTTAGAAAACTCTACCAAACGCACCTATATTTTGCCTAAATCTCATTTTGAAATACGTTTTTTAATAATTTACATATAAAAACATTATACATATGCAAATATGTAAGTGTTTAACATGTGTTTCCGTACCCATATTTAACTTTTTGATGCATATCTCACGATTCTGAGCTTTAGATTTAGGAAGATTTGATGTTTGGACATGCATTCGCACTCGATACTCATACCCGAGTCCATGTAACATAACATTTAATCCTTTTTTGCTTCTATTCACAGGTTTTTCTCGTTGCTAAAGATTTTGGGGCTCGGCCTGCCTACTATTTTTCCCTTTTCTACCCAGAGAGGGTCTCAGGAATCATAACCATGGGTGCGCCATTTTTTCCCCCGGGTTCCGTAACATTCGGCAAACACCTTCCTGAAGGTTTCTACATCTCAAGGTGGAGGGTATGTAGTAACATAATCAGTTTGCTTGCTTAGAATTGAAGAAACAATCCTTTTATTTTATTTTTCATTTATGGCTGAGAACTCGGCCTAGGCAAGGTCTTTTGAACCCAACCCAGGTGTGTAAACTCCAGGTTCAGAGGCCACCCCCTACCTAAGCCTATGAACCAGGCAAACGGGAGGGGATTTGAACCTCAGAGCTTGTGGATGTGAACCTGGGCAACTGACCATCTGAGCTACCCCTCTAGGTTATTGAAGAAACAATCTTAATTGCTTGCATTTTGATGTTTGTAATCTCAATATTAACAGGAACCTGGACGAGCTGAAGCTGATTTTGGCCGTCTTAATGCCAAAACGGTTGTGCGGAACGTCTACATTCTCTTCTCCAAAAGTGAAATACCGATAGCTGGAGAAAATCAAGAAATCATGGATTTGGTGGAACCTTCTACTCCTCTTCCCCCATGGTTCTCGGAGGAAGATCTTGAAGCCTATGGAGCTTTGTATACAAAATCTGGATTTCGCACTGCCCTGCAAGTTCCTTACAGGTAAAATTGGTTGTCTTGTGTTCACATAAGTCAAGTAAATACAGGCCCCTGCCATCTTCTGTCACTGCCCTTTTGTCTACAATGCAAGCTAAAGCCTATGGTTATATCAACAGGCATCAACTGGACTAGGATGCCACACCTTCCACTAACAAGAGCACGAAACCTGTAGTCTATGAAGCATGGACACTTCTAAGAGGGTTATGTGTCTGTGTTTGACACTGACACTTGTCCAAAACATTCATATTGTTTTTAAAAAAATTTAAACCCAAACATTCTTTGGACCCTTGGAGGCACACATGTTCATCATTTGAACAGACATAAAGTTCGAACAAAATACTTAAGAAATAGAACACAGAGATAAAAGAAAACAATGTAGATATGTAAACATTAATGTTATGTTGCATTTTTTTTTTATTATCTTTGAAAGATATATTTGTAAATATGATATACTATAATAAATATATAAAATTATATATTAATTTGGTGTCCCCCACATGTTGTGTCCTATATTTTTTTTTGAAAATGTTTGTGTCGTGTGTCTGTATCCGTGCTCCGTAGCTTGAATGTAGACAGGCAAACAACAGGGTACACTCTCTGAGAGTATTTGTATATCTTTGTATATATGGTAGTCTATATTTGTGTATACATTCTATTTTCTTTTTTGTATTAGGGTTAGGAGAGCTATATAATTAGATGTATTCTTTGTAATTAGACACAATTGAATATACAAATACATTCAGGAACTTACACACTCAAATCTGAGTCCAAAACATTCATTCTTCATCCTCCATAGTATCAACATACTGAAAATAAAAGATTTTCTAGATCATACCTTGATAACTACCCAAACCAATCAACACTACACGTCACAAGGTTTACACACTATGATATATTGACAAGCCATGAGTCTATTGAGCACCAAAGACCTTCAACCTTACTATCTTAAAAAAAAAAAAAAAAAAAAAAAAAAACCAGGAACCTTCAACTTAACTATTTATACTGTGTGTTAAAATCATGGTATATGGCTAACTTACGTGATCGAATAAAAGGTCGGCTAATTGAAACTTTTGAACTGGTTTGACTGACTGACTTCTAACCAGCTACCATCTAATAAAATAGGTTCGCTGATATGTTCTTTTACAGGTCTATTGATGAAGAGTTTAAGTTACCAAATACAAAAGTTGCATGTCCGGCATTGCTGATCGTGGGTGAGAAAGATTATGCTTTCAAATTTCCGGGAAAGGAGGACTACATAAGGAGCGGACAGGTGAAAACGTTTGTCCCTGATTTGGAGATAACATACTTGTCCGAAGGAACCCATTTCGTTCAGGAGCAATTCCCCGATCAGGTGAACCAACTAATCCTCACCTTCTTCAGTAAGCATAGTTGATTTTCAAACAGTCAATGGTTGGTTTGTTTTTGACATTGGAAGTGTGTTGAAAGGATTAGTTGGAGCTCAAGAATACCTTGAAAAGTTTGGAGTCATAGTATTAGTATGCCAATTGTGACATGAATAATAATTAACTTTGTTGGGCATTATCAAAGGAAGAATAATTTTGTAGTTTTTCTGTTTGTCTTGAAATTTATGTGCAAGATGTTTGGTGCATTATGAAAGGCAGACCAATAGTCTTTTCTGTTTTGAAAATTTGTGCCAGAATATTTGTTGCAACTTTGTCTATTGCTTATGAGATAAAAATAATTTGAATAAATTAAAATTAGGAGAATCATTTGCTGGAAAAGCTATTTCAGTTGTATCAAATTTGAACCATATCAATCTGCCATCATAAACTAGCCTTTTCAATTAATAAGCAATTACTAACACATATAGCAAGCTCTTCTAACTTTCATCTTTTGGTAAATTAAGCTGATTTCTCATGAGATTTGAAAAAATTATAACTAATTTTAACAGAATTACAAATATTTCCCTCAAGTAGAGTTGCAAATGAACCGAGATATTCATTGATAACTCAAGTTTGGCTTGTTTAAAACTTGTTTGAGCTCGGCTTATATATTAAACGAACAAGCTCGAGTTTGTTTATTTCTCCCCTTTATGGGTTGTATGTAAGCAATAGTGGAGTGATTGTTGGGTGTGGGTAAAGGCTTTTGTTTCTTCCCCATGTGGAGTTGTATGTGCTATGTAAATAGTATCTATTTGATGATACAATATTTTTCACGCTTATAATTACTCTTGTATAAATTGACAAAAACATATTGATGTATTAAATGGGATCTATTAAATATAAAATTATATGAAATGAAAAAATTAAAAATTTCACATTTTTGGAGAAATGTTTTGTCATAGGACTCTTCCTCTCCGTGTTTATATATTAGTGTGAAATTTTTAGTAAGTGTGAAATTTTTAAATGTGAATATTCATACTTTCAATTAATAAAATATTATGAATTTTTGAAAAATATAAAAGTCACCGTGATAAATCCCAACTAATATTTTTAAGGGGTATTTTTTTTTTTTTTTATAAATTCCATATGGCCGGCTTATGATTCATTTTGGTCCTATTCGTATTCTTATAACTCTTTTAAGTAATTTTTAATGTCAAAAAAATTCAATACCATAAATTATTTCAATATGGAAACAATTAAATACCATAAATATTTACATCAATATGAATATCTGATATTAAAATATTGCAAATATTTATATCAATATGTATATCAAATACTATATTCAACGACAGTGTCAATATTCATATTATAGCATAACACTCACATGATAACATCTAATTCAAAAAAATAGATCTCCTATAGAATACAATTTTAAATATATTACTTACCCAAATTTTTTTTTTTTAAATACATAAGACTTATTGGATTACAAGTATTTCTTTACGTTTTATGACCAAACAAGTTCTCGAAAATGACCTTTCTACTAATTTTTTTATTTTTTTCTAATAATAAATATTGTTATGATGTTAGTATTATACTATTATATGAATATTCACACTATTTATATTGATATGAATAGTTTCAATATTATAGTATCTAGTATTCATATTGACATAATATTTAATTATTTCATATTAAATTAGTTTGTGGTATTTAATTATTTTTATATTGAAATAGTTTATAATAGGGATTTTTTTAGTAAATTTCATTTTAAAAATATATTCATATTCTTTTTTAATATTCCATTAGATCATATTTGATATAATATGACCAAATCACATCCAACTTGTGGCGCTTATTTCTATTTTGAAATTAATACACAATAAACAAAATAACAATAATTCCTTATTCCAGGGAGAAATTCTCTCATCATTTTAGAGAAAATCTATCCCCTATTCTATGAAGAAAAGCTCTTTGTCATTCTAGGGGAAAAAATTTCCCCTATTCCATAGAAAAAAAAATATCTAACATTCTCAAAATCCTAAATCGTCTATCTCCTGAAAATCTCTCACTAAATGTTGATGTGAATTTTCACATTACAAATGCATGCTGATAAATAACATCGCATCATGGAACCATACACACACGCAATATTAAATGAGTGTGTGAACATTAACATGGGGTGCGACTACCTATTTATATTACAGAATTAATGTGAACATTCACATCTCTACGTACACACCATGTTTGTACTACAATGACTACTTATATACAACTTTTGAAAAAATAAAATACATACCAAAGTACAATGTAAATGTCCATAATAAATAACAAACATACAACTAATTTTAAAAAAAAAATAAAACTCATATCAAAATATAATGTGAATAATCATAGTTTACAATTAACATACTATCCTTAAAAAACTTCACTCATACCAATGTGAGCATTCACACTGGAATGTGAAAGTATAGAATAAAATTGAATAAAGTAAAAATTGACTATTTCAATTGTTTAATGGTAACAAAAATGATTGATCAACCAACAAGCATAGTAACAAAAACAACAAACATACAATTAACTTTTGAAAAAAATAAAATTTATACCAAAACACAATGTGAATGTTCACAATTTACAATTAACATACAATTAGTCTTAAAAAAAAAAACTAAACGCCATTTACATTACAACGTAAAAATACGAAACAAAATTAAAAAGTGAAAAATCGACTATTTCGATTATTCAATGTAGCTGAGATTGGGTCGGGCCAATCGGTTGTGGTTTTCCTCCACGGGTTTCCCGAGATATGGTACTCCCAGCGCCACCAGATGATCGCCCTCTCCAACGCTAGTTACCGTGCGATCGCACCCGATTTCAGGGGGTACGGGCTGTCTGACCCACCATCCGAACCTGAAAAGGCCTCCTTTGCTGACCTCATCACCGACCTCCTCGCTATCCTCGATGTCCTGAGCATTCCAAAGGTATATTCCTGAACTCTTCTTATTTGTCAGGTACTCTGTGTTTGTTTGGTTGTAGAGAAAATAAGAGAAAAAGTAGAAGAAAGTAAATTTAGGGGCAAATTATAATCGTCGTTAATGTATCACTAATGTCAATTTGTCTAGTTTTAATGATGGAAATTAGGATAAAATGATTTAATATATAAATTGATAAACTCGGATAAGAAAATAGATGGAAATTAGGATAAAATGATTTGTTATATCAATTGATAAACTCGAATAAGAAAATAGATGAAAATTAGGATAAAATGATTTAATTCATCAATTGACAAACTCGGATAAGAAAATAGATGAAAATTAGGATAAAATGATTTAATTTATCAATTGACAAACTCGGATAAGAAAATAGATGAAAATTAGGATAAAATTATTTAATATATCAATTGATAAATTCGGATAAGAAAATAGATGAAAATTAGGATAAAATTATTTAATAGAACAATTGATAAACTCGGATAAGAAAATAGATGGAAAATAGGATAAAATGATTTGTTATATCAATTGATAAACTCAGATAAGAAAATAGATGAAAATTAGAATAAAATTATTTAATATATCAATTGGTAAACTCGGATAAGAAAATAGATGGAAAGTAGGATAAAATGATTTGTTATATCAATTGATAAACTCGGATAAGAAAACAGATGAAAATTAGGATAAAAGGATTTGTTATATCAATTGATAAACTCGGATAAGAAAATAGATGAAAATTAGGATAAAATTATTTAATAGAACAATTGATAAACTCGGATAAGAAAATAGATGGAAAGTAGGATAAAATGATTTGTTTTATCAACTGATAAACTCCTATAAGAAAATAGATGGAAATTAGGATAAAATGATTTATTATATCAATTGATAAATGATGAAAATTAGGATAAAACGATCAATTCACTCATTCAAACCAAACCTTTGATCTTGATTTGTGTGTGTGTGTGTGTGTGTGTGTAAGAGAGAGAGAGAGAGAGAGAGAGAGAGAGAGAGAGACTGCGAGTAGAGGGTAGCGAGGGGTGGGGGCTTCGGCAAAAGTGCATCATGGGGGTGGTGGATCGTGGAGGTAGGATTTGCAATGGTAGTGGTGTCAAGGGCGAGGGATGGTGGGGCAGCAGGGTTTGGGGACCTGCAATGGTGGCTAGGTAAGAGGGACATGGAGGTGGAGGTGGCTGGTGATGGCAGCCGGCTGTGGGGAGTGGGCGGCAAAGGAGGGATGACAGTGGCTAGTTGTGTGTAGGGTGTCCAAAATAGTAATTTGATCAAGGAACATAAATGTATAATAATAATAATAATAATAATAATAATAATAATAATAATAATAATAATAATAATAATAATAATAATAATGGGATGGTGCTGTGAAAATAGAATTACTCACTAATCAAAAAACTTTGGAAAGAGTAAATGGACTAGTTTATCTTTGATTTCACTATAATTTCTAAAATATGTTATCAGTTTGATTAAATTAACATAGAATATAAATTACAAGAGTATGGATTTTATTTGCTCTTTAGTGTCAAGAAATTACAAATTTTGGATGGATTTGTCTGGCCTTCTTTAGATGTAATTATGACATTATTTGTAGTTGAGCATTGCACAGGGGATATGAGTTTTGACTGTGTTTGCAAAGTACTTTTTGTTGCATCCAGAATAGTTTTGGTGAATTATATGATTAGGTGCTGTAAACTCAAGCTCTTCAATTTGTAAACAGATGAAATTTTTTCGGAATGTTTTGGATTATCTTCTTCTTCTTCTTCTATGACATCCAAAAATTGGGGAAAAAGAAATTGGGAAACAATTAAAAACATGTCAATAAATTTGTTTAGTTAGAAAACTAGTAGCGATTTTACTTTGCTTATTTTAATTATAGTAACTACTAAAAAGAAAAAGAAAAAGGAAATGGTTATTAGAATTTTGGGAGTTTCTTTCACAATTTTTTGGATATACATCTTGGCATAGTAGCCTGAATATTTTCTTCAATTATAATTGGTTTTCCAAGCTATTTTTGTAATTGTACTCAAACATTAAGAAACCAGAGGCGATCTCAAACTCACAAGAAACCAGAGGCGATCTCAAACTCACAAGAAACCGTTTTTAAAGGCTGGAAATGTTTTGCATTCTACCAAATATCATGGGAAACAATTGGAGTTTTTGTTGATTTTTAACCGAAAGTTGATTGTCAGAAGTTAATTTTACATCAAGTGCAACCTGTGTTATATGTCCGTTTCTACTTCCCCTAGTGGTACCTATATCTATTGGAGTAATGGTGTGGGATATATGTTTGACAGCTATATTCAATTTAGATATTTAGATCTTCTAATTTTGTATGATTTTTGAAGAAGAATATGCAAATAATTATTGGTAAATTAACATTTCTAGCTTCCACACAAACGAGAGATAGAAGTTCTATATTTTTCCTAAATCTCATTTTGAAATACGTTTTTTAATAATTTACATTTAAAAACATTTTACATATGCAAATATGTAAGTGTTTAACACGTGTTTCCGTATCCATAATTAACTTTTTGATGCTTTAGATTTAGGAAGATTTAAACCTTTTTCGCTTCTATTCCCAGGTTTTTCTCGTAGCTAAAGATTTTGGGGCTCGGCCTGCCTACTATTTTTCCCTTTTCTACCCGGAGAGGGTCTCAGGAATCATAACCATGGGTGCGCCGTTTTTACCCCCAGGTTTCGTAACATTCGGCAAACACCTTCCTGAAGGTTTCTACATCTCAAGGTGGAGGGTATGTAGTAACATAATCAGTTTGCTTGCTTAGAATTGAAGAAACAACCCTTTTATTTCATTTTTCATTTATGGCTGAGAACTCGGCCTAGGCAAGGTCTTTTGAACCCAACCCAGGTGTGTAAACTCCAGGTTCAGAGGCCACCCCCTACCTAAGCCTATGAACCAGGCAAACGGAAGGGGATTTGAACCTCAGAGCTTGTGGATGTGAACCTGGGTGACTGACCATCTGAGCTACCCCTCTGGGTTATTGAAGAAACAATCTTAATTGCTTGCAATTTGATGTTTGTAATCTCAACATTAATTGGAACCTGGACGAGCTGAAGCTGATTTTGGCCGTCTTAATGCCAAAACGGTTATGTGGAACGTCTACATCCTCTTCTCCAAAAGTGAAATACCAATAGTTGGAGAAAATCAAGAAATCATGGATTTGGTGGAACCTTCTACTCCTCTTTCCCCATGGTTCTCGAAGGAAGATCTTGAAGCCTATGGAGCTTTGTATACAAAATCTGGTTTTCGCACTACCCTGCAAGTTCCTTACAGGTAAAATTGGTTTTGTCTTGTGTTCACATAAGTGAAGTAAATATAGGCCCGAGCCGTCTTCCATCACTGCCCTTTTGTCTACAATGCAAGGTAAAGCCTATGCCAGTGAGAATATTTGTGAGAACAGGGTACACTCTATGAGAATATTTGTGTATATTTGTATATATATTCTATTTATTTTTGGGTGTTAGGGTTAGGAGTGCTATATAATCAGATGTATTCTTTGTAATTAGACACAATTGAATATGCAGATACATTCAAAAACTCACATGGTATCAGACTGGGAGTATGCAGGGATGGGGGTAGACTGCGTGTCCCTGGCCTGGTAAGCAAGAACGTTGGGCTTAAGGGAGGGTGTGAAGCAAAGTCCCATATCGCTTGAGTACTAAAGTAATATTAAGCATATAAGGGTGATGGCACCCTCACCTTAATAACTAGCTTTTGGGGTGAGTTCTACCCAAGACCGTGTAACATGGTAGTCTATATTTGTGTATATATTCTATTTCTTTTTTGGTATTAGGGTTAGGAGTGCTATATAATCAGATGTATTCTTTGCAATTAGACACAATTGAATATACAAATACATTCAGAAACTTACACACTCAAATCTGAGTCTGAAACATTCGTTCTTCATCCTCTTTCATAGTATCAATATACTGAAAATAAAAGATTTTCTAGATCATACCTTGATAACTACCCAAACCAATCAACACTACACATGTCACAAGGTTTACACACTATGATATATTGACAAGCCATGAGTCTATTGAGCACCGAAGACCTTCAACTTACACTATCTAAATAAAAAAAGGACCTTCAACTTAACTATTTATACTTTGTGTTAAAATCATAGTATATAGGTAACTTATGTGATCGAACAAAAGGTCGGCTAATTGAAACTTTTGAACGGGTTTGACTGACTGACTTCTAACCAGCTACCATCTAATAATATAGGTTCGCTGATATGTTCTTTTACAGGTCTATTGATGAAGAGTTTAAGTTACCAAATACAATAGTTGCATGTCCAGCATTGCTGATCATGGGTGAGAAAGATTATGCTTTCAAATTTCCGGGAAAGGAGGACTACATAAGGAACGGACAGGTGAAAACGTTTGTCCTTGATTTGGAGATAACATACTTGTCCGAAGGAACCCATTTCGTTCAGGAGCAATTCCCCGATCAGGTGAACCAACTAATCCTCACCTTCCTCAGTAAGCATAGTTGATTTTCAAACAGCCAATGGTTGGTTTGTTTTTGACACTGGAAGTGTGTTGAAAGGATTGGTTGGAGCTCAAGAATACCTTGAAAAGTTTGGAGTCATAGTATTAGTATGCCAATTGTGACATGAATAATAATTAACTTTGTTGGGCATTATCAAAGGAAGAATAATTTTGTAGTTTTTCTGTTTGTCTTGAAATTTATGTGCAAGATGTTTGGTGCATTATGAAAGGCAAACTAATAGTCTTTTCTGTTTTGAAAATTTGTGCCAGAATATTTGTTGCAAAAATTATGTGCCAGAAAAAATTTGTGCTAGAATATTTATCTGGTACCAAAAATTATGGTTTGTTTTATAACAAGTATCATGCGGTACTTGAGGGATATAGTGATGATATAGTGATGCCGATTGGAACACTTTGTCAGGTGATTCTCTCTCTACCTCAAGTTTTATTTTTACCTTAGGTGGTGGTTCTATATGTTGGAAGTCTAAAAAACAGACTATAATTGCTAATTCTACTATGGAAGCTGAGCTTATAGCGTTAGCTTCAGCATGTGAGGAAGCGAATTGGTTGAGAGATTTGTTACATGAAATCCCTTTTTGGGAAAAACCAATTTCTCATGTGTTAATTCGTTGTGATAGCACTGCTGCTATTGGTAGAGTGAACAACTATTTTTATAATGGTAAATCCAGACCTATTCGAAGGAAACACAGTAATGTGAAATCCTATTTGAGTAATGGCATCATAACTGTGAATTATGTAAGATCTTGTGATAATCTTGCGGATCCGTTAACCAAGGCCTTGGCGAAAGATAGGGTCTGGAATACATCGAGGGGGATGGGTTTGAAGCCTATAAAATCATAAACCATGTATGAGGATACCCTACCTAGGGACCAGAGATCATGTAACTAAGTTCAATGGGAAGAACGAATCATATGGTGGTTGTAAAAATGCACTCCTTAATATTTTGTTATCCATCCCTATGATGTAAGTGCATTTATCCTGTAATGTTGGAGGGTTGAGTTTTTATACTCTTAATGAAATTTTGTAGCTCTTGTTGAGTGGGGTGTATAAATTATAGGACCATCCTTGACAGATTTCACCTATGTGAGCATGAAAATGGGGCCGCTTTCTTTGAGAACAAGGCTTATTCTCAAATATGCTCATGAAAACTGAGATAAGCACAAGATCGTAATGTGCTGGCTATTAAAAGCTCATGTCAACACCTGGATTATTATGTGTGAGTAGTAATACTTTATTTCCCCCAAGCAGTCATAGTTCAAGTCTGAGACCACTACTGACTCTAGAGTAGAGGTTGTTGTTTCACTAATGAAGGTTTAATGTAGAGCACACCTTCATGATGCATACTAGTCTATCTTTGTTTGGTAATCTCTCTTTCCTTGTTGATATTAAAATGAGTGGGGAATTGTTGGACCATTTTAATATCTTTTATTTATTTATTTATTTATTTATTTATTTATATTGTTCTTGAATCTTCTTTTATTTTATTCATGAATCTCATATTGTTCATGTATTGAGATTCATTGCTTTGGTGTCCTTTTGTTTTGTTCATGAATTAAAATTAATTAGAATTCATGAACTTGGTGGTGAGTTAATGTTTGGTACACTCTCCCTTTTCTCTAGGTTCTTGATCTTTTGTATGTCTTAGTGGCCTATAAATAGTCTATCTCATCTACTTTTTTCTACATCAACTCACCAACTATTTTTTTATACTTGAAATATTACTAGCAAAGAAGGGTGTTTTTCTTGGTGGAGCGTTGGGTTCACCATCTTGTGCAGAGTTGGCCTGAATCATACGACAAGTGGTCGGGCTGTTGTATCCTGGAGGGGACAAGTCATAATTTTGTGATTGCTGCATTGGTATTTGGGTTCTTCCTACCACAGTGGGTTTGATCTCCTTTAAAAAAAATGAGATATCCGTGCCTCAGCCTGATCTATTTATATCTCATTTTCTTTGTATTATTTATCAATAAAATATATTTTTTCTGGTATTTTCCCCAACATTATCCTTAAAAAACTACACTCATACCAATGTGAGCATTCACACTGGAATGTGAAAATATAAAATAAAATTAAATAAAGTAAAAATCGACTATTTCGATTGTTTAATAGTAGCAAAAATGATTGTTCAACCAACCAACATAGTAACAAAAACAACAAACATACAATTAAATTTCGAAAAAATAAAATTCATACCAAAATACAATGTGAATGTTCACAATTTACAATTAACATACAATTAGTCTTAAAAAAAAAAAACTAAACGCCATTTATATTACAATGTAAAAATACGAAACAAAATTAAAAAGTGAAAAATCGACTATTTCAATTATTCAATGGCAATAAAAATGATTGTTCAATCAAAAAGTATAGTAACAATCAATATACAAGAAATCATCAAACAATATATGTATATAAAAAAATATCAAATAATTTATATATATTGACGCACCTTTTTAGAAATCTGTATATAATCAATTCCGACATAATATCGGCAAATGAACTACACACAATATCGGTGACTACACAAATTGGCGAAGAGACTATGGTTTATGTATAACAATGGCCAAAAAAACAATTGTTTATTGCCGGTTTACTATCATTTTTGTTGCGAATCTATCATCATATCTATCATTGGTATACATGTATAACTGTTGGCTACATATTTTGTATAAGCCAATTACAATTCGACGCGTGGCAGAATAGGGGTAATACAGGAAGACTATTCAAGTCTTCAATCATAATTGTACACGTGGCAGTTAGTATTGGTTATTACGAGATCTGAGTAGCATTGGATCAGCAAAGAAGATGCAAAGTGATGTGGCTTCAACGGTTACTCACATTAAAATTCAAAATTATGAGGGAAGCCTAACTGCAAGTGATGGCATAGTGGAGCTAATTATAAGGCAACATGATCAGCGATCATGGAGGAGCAGTTCGACGGTTGGAAATGCAGTTCGATGGTCATCCTTGAGAAGTATAAATAGCAGAGAAGGCCCTAGAAAAAGCCCCCAGACTCAGATCCAAAAAACAAGTCTTATTCTACTTTATTTCCTTTCTAGTTTTACATTTTCTGTTCTTTACATTTCTGTACTTTGAAATTCCTGCACTGCACTTCGTTCATAGGAGTAGTTTCAAGTAGATTGTTGCTATAAACCTCTACGAGGCTGAGTTTGGATTATTATAAGTTTTTTCATTTTAATGAAATACTTCAATTGTTCTTCATTTAATTGTTATTTGCTTAATTCTCCTGAATCAAGCCACCGATAAAAGTCATCTTCATTGAGGCTGAAAGAACTAAAACACAATCGTTTGATAATTGGTTGGCAATTAATTTTCTATAAGGACTGATTGATCCTTACTGGCACGCTCACAATTACAAAGATAACCTTCGAAAGCCAAAAAGCCAACGTATATTTTTGGCACGCCCAGTGGGACTAATTGAAATGGCTAGACGTAGGAGACAAGGAGAAAATGAACGCTTGGAAGAAAGCGTGGAAGGAGATGTAGAAGTGCCCAATCCAGAGGATAATGCGATAACACATCCTATGGAAGCACCCAGTTCATCAGAACCTATGGTCAAACAAACCAGCACTTCGGAACAACTACCACATGTTTAGAATATTGGACGAGGCCAAGGAATTGGACCATCCACTGTTCCATCTACTCAGCCAATGAATCCATGGGGTGGCCTAGTAGATGCTATGGTGGGACAGCAGTTAATGAACACAATGGAAAGGTGAGCAACATCCTTTTTGGATCGAATGAATACCCACCAACCAACAAACACAAGACACATGGAGGAAATTTCAAATGTCCCTCAGCAAAGATTGGCTAAAGATAAACAGCCTATGCAAATTAATGGACATTTTAATGGTTAAACTAGTAATCAAAACTATGAAAGACCATCACCCCAGTCTTGG